CGACCTGCCCCCCGCTGCTCGCCCCAAGAACCCAGCAGCCTCCACACTCCACCCAGGCGGTCCCGCCCGCAGCCCTCCCGCCTCTCACAAGCCCAGCAGCCGCCAGACTTCAGCGGCCCCACCGCCCCGCCCAGGGGCCACCCACCACATCGAACTCGTCCATGGCCCGGAAGGGCATCTCTGTGTGGCCCCCTAATGCCAGCGTGAACGCCACGGTGGTGTAGCTGCGCTCGCCGCCAGACAGCTGCACACGGGGGTGGCGGCAGAGGAGGTTGGCAGTGGTGGCGATGGGCATCCAGGCAGGGATGCGGGAAGCAGCGGGAGAAGCAGGGCAGGCAGCGGCAGCAGGAGGGAATCGACAGGCGGGCGGCAGGGCCAGAGGGCAAAGCTGTGGGCAGCCGCGGGGCAAGGGCGGCAGCACCACCAGCAGCTGCAGGCTTGCCTGCTTGAGGTCCTTGACCGCGCCGCCCTCCTTGCTGCCCTTGCAGCCTATCTGCACCTTGAGCTGCAGGCTCTGCGCCTTGCGGTCCAGCTTGATCATGCCCTGCAAACGGTGCACGTGGCGGTACAGATGGCGGTAAGGGTGGCGGCATATTCACTACTCAGCGCGTGGCTACGGCGAGCGGGACCAGCCGGTGGAGCAACGGCCTCAAGACCCTATCCCAACCACCAGCCCGTGCAGAGGAAAGCAACAAGACGCAAAGGCCACCCAGTGCACTCAGCCCAACCCACCGAGTGCCCTTTCTTCCACATGTACTGCCTGAACTTGGCATTCACCAGGTCCTCCAGCCGGTGGTCCAGCTGCAAGGAGGAAGAGGTGAGGTGAGGGAGGAGGGAAGGAAGAAAGTGGGGGGTGGGCATAAAGCGGCAGGGTGGGTACCACCCTTACAGGGACGGCCACGGTGCACCGAGCAGTTCCCACCGCACATACACACAGCGACGGCCGGCGCAGAGGCAGCCCCGGGCAGGCCAGCACACAGAGAGGTGCTGCAAGCCCTCTGGGCGGCCAGGCCGGGACCCAGCCTCTGGCGACAGCTGCCGCAGCCCACCCACCTCACTGAGCTTCTTGGTGCGCAGCTTGAGCGCATCGTCCACCACCTGGTGTGTGGGGCAAGGGGTGCCTGATGATCATAGGAGGGCAGGGCGGTTGTCGAGCCTCCCTGTCAGCCACTGGCTGCCGCCCCGCTGGCTGCCACCACCACCACCACCACCACCCACCCACACTCTCTCACTTGGTAGGTGGAGATGGCCTCGCGGAAGCGCCGCCCGTCGCGCCCCATGCGTGCTGAGCTGGCGGCAAAGGCGTCCTGCGGGTGGTGGTTGCGAGGCGGCGGGCGGGCGAGGGAGGGCGAAGGTGGGAGGGTGGTGTGGCAGGGCTTGGAGGGTCGCCCCTCCTGCCAGGGCTGCCCCCGGCTGCCCCAGGCAGCTACGGCCTACTCGCTCCCTGCTGGTCTGCCTGGCACACCCCACACCTACGCACACCCCACACCCACGCACCCATCTACACACCCCACACCCACACACCGACACACACACACACCACACACCACGTCCAGCCCACCTGCAGCTCCGCCAGGCTGCCGCCCGCCGCCCGCTCGTGCTCCGCAATCTTTCGCTCCAGCAGCGCCACCTTCTTCCGCAGCAGCTGCACGGCGTGAGTGGTGCGGCAGGCGCAGCCGGTAACGCACGCGTTGCGAGCCAGCTAAGCAATGGCCAGGTGGCCTTGGCCCAAGGCCACAGGCCAGCGGCGGCGCCTGGCGTGTATCAGGGCGCAGACGGCACGCATGACAGCCCCCCGAAGTGTGCATAGCATGCATAGCATGCATATCATTGTGCACACGCGCCACAAAGCAGGCCGCCCGCCCACCTCGGGCGTCAGCAGGCTGGCCACCTCCTCCTCCCCCATGTCTCTCTTCCCGCGCAGCCTCTCCTCGACAGCTCGCCGCGCCTCGTCCGCGGCCTCTCGCGAGCACAGCGCCGCCGCGCCCTCCTCCACCTGCGCCAGCTCCTGCGCCTGCTGCGCGGCCAGCTGCTGCAGCTGGGCGCGCCGCGCGCGCGCCGCCTCGCCCGCCTCCCGCGCCTCCGCCAGCCGGGCAGCCACCGCCTGCAGCTGCTCCACCTCCTGGTGGTAGCTAGACACAAATGCCTCGTTCTCCTCGTTCAGCCGGGTCATGGCATCCCTGCAGGTGGAACAGACAGACAGGCAGGCAGGCAGGCATGGGTGGCCGGTGCATAAGACGCCAGTTGGTCGAGTGGGGAGGCAGCAGGCAGGGCCAGAGCGTGGACCAGGCACGCCGGCAGGCAGGCGGGCGGACGACACCAGCAGCAAGCTTGCAGCGGCCGCACCTCTTCTCACGGAGCGCGTCCACCGCCTGCCGCGCGGCCGCCCCGGCCTCCTCCGCCGCACCCTGCTTCTCCCGCAGCTGCTGCTCCAGGTCGATGCAGGCCTGGGCTGCCTGCGCCAGAGAGAGACACACACAAACACCCACACACAACGCGTGCTCCAGATGACAACACTGAAGTGAATGCGAAAGAATGCTGCTGGAGAGCAGGCGCCAGTCCACACCAGCATGGACACGCCTGTGCCGCAATCAATTGCTCTCCCAGCCACACACACACACGCCCACCTGCCAGATCTCGGCGTGCGTGTCGTTGTCGCCGCCACCCTGCGTGGCCGCCAGCACCTCGGGCGGCGGCTGCTGGGTGAGCTGCGTCAGCACCGTCTGCGTCTCCCACTGCACCACATACCCACCAAGCCAGGCAGAGGCAAAGTTATCACACGACAGCGGCCCGCATGCCACAGCGGAGCGGCCCAGCGATGTCGGCAGCAGCAGGCCGCGCCTCCCGACTCGGCCAGGGCGGTGCCCCCGGGCACGCACGCACCCGCTTGCGCTTGACTGCGGCCACGCCGCGCCGCGCCTCCACCTCGGCCGCGTTCGCCGCCGCCACATCGGCCTGCGCCTGCTGGAACTGCAGCTCCAGCTGCGCCAGCTCCTGCTGCGCCCGCTGCACCTCCCTCTCGAGCTCGCTCGTCTGCTGCGCCGCGGACACGCCCAGCCGCGCGCAGCGCAGCCAGTGCGGGGGCGGGATGGAAGTGTTGGTGGACCCCCTGCGGTAGTACTTGCTGCCGTCGGGGGCGTAGCAGGCAGACACGTTCTGCGCCTGCCAGGCCGCGGACTTGCACGCCTCCCCGCTGCCGCCCAGCGCCAGCTTCTCTGCGCCAGCGGGCGGGCAGGCGGGCGCGGGCGGCAGGGCGAGGTGGGGTGCAAGGAAGGAAGCAGCAAGCCGGCCATGCCTCCTCGGCTTCCCGTGCATCACGCAAGCATCACATCGTCCTACCCGGGCACCAGCCTGCTGCATGTTGAAAATGTAGGCCCGCGGAGCCACAGCCCTCCTACCCACACCAGCCCTACCACCTGCACTCCCACCCGCCGCCGCACCCTCATGCTCTGCCACCACGGCAGCCCCGCCGCGGCAGCCGCCCACCTATGTGCGCCTGGTCCACCAGGTTGTTCAGGATGGGCGCCGCCACCTTGCGGTCGGCGCAGCGCAGCACGCGGTAGATGGTGGGGATGGCGGGCGGGGGCTGGGAGGCGGGCGGGATGACGTGCTGCGGCAGGTCGAAGTTGACGACAAACACGGAGGGGCGGATGCCGCCGATGCCTGCAGGTGGGAGGATACAGGAGGGCTCGGGGGGTGGGTCAGCAGGAGGGAGAGCGTGGGAGGCCCAGGACTGGGGAGCCAGCTGGGGCGGCGGCTGGCTTGAGGGGCTGCCAGGAGCACGGCTGGTGCTCATCGGAATGCCACCGCCTGCTGCCAGCTGGCGCCAGCTGGCGTGGAGCCAGCAGCCTTGGAGCGAGCACCCCCTGGCGGCCCCACCCTGGAATTGCTGCGCGATCATCTGGCGCAGAAGGCGGCCGTCTGCCATGGTGTGCACCAGGAAGGCATTGAGCTGCAGGCTGATGGCGGCCTCCACAGCCATGGCCCATCTGAGGAGGAAAGAACAGGGCAGGGCCAGCAGCACGGCACGCATGGGTTGGCAGCTGAGCGAGGGGAGAGGCTGCTGGGGCTTGTGGGGCAGAGCGCCGGGTGCTGGCCAGCTGCCTCTGCTGCCAGGGCGGCCACCAAAGCAGCGGCGGCGCTGCATGGCTCAGCCGCGCAAACTCAAAACGGCCCCAACCACCGCCAGCCCGGCTATGCAGCCCCAAGCCACAAGCAAACCCCCGCCTGCCCGCCTCGCCTGGGGTCCTCCAGAGAGAGGTACTGCCCCACCGGGCCGATGGGCAGGCGGCTGAACTGAGCCTTGGAGCGCTGGATGGCGGCAGCCAGGCTGGCCGCGGGCCGCCCGCCAAACGCGGCCGCCTTGCTGCGCCCCGCCTCCCGGATCTGCTGCACCTGCTGCTGCAGCGCCTGCACGTGGCTGGCCGCCGCATAGCACTGGCTGCTGACGGCCTCCTTGCGCTCGTGGGCGGCCTTGGTGGCGGCGGCGAGGCGCTGGTACTCACCGTCCACGCCCGCCACCTGCAGTGGGGAAGAAAGGAGGGCAGGGAGGAGAGGCGAGGAACAGCAAGGAAGGCAGGCGGTGATGCCGGGGTTGCGCGCCGATGTGTGTGTGCGCGTCGCACCCCGGCTGGCGACCCCTCAACACCCAGGCCCAGGCTACAAGCGCTGGGCGCTGGGCAAGCAAAGGCCCGCGGCCCCGCCCCGCCCAGGCAAACCAAGCCCCCAGGGGTGCACGGCAGCCCACCTCCTCGCGGCACGCGTCGTCCGCCGCCTGCGCCGCGCCCAGCTGCTGCTGGTACTGCGCCACAGCTGCCTGCGTGGCCTGCACCACATCGTCCTGCACCTCCTTCACCGCAGTCTCCAGCGTCTGCAGGCGGGCCGTGGCGCGGTGCTGGAGGGTGAGCGAGCGCTCGGGGAGTGGAGCGGGCACGGGCAGCGGCCCACGGCAGCAGCCAGCCGCACGGCCGACGCAGCGCAGCCTGGCGCTGGGACCGCTCCCTCATTCGACCGCCAAGCCACCCTGCTCGACGGCTCGCCGGCCCCTGCCAAACCACCTGCTTGCGCACGCACCTCCTTGTGCGCCTGCGCCTCCTGCAGGCCCTCCCGCAGCCGCTGGATCTTGGCCTCTGCCGCCCGGGCCGCGCGGTGCGCCTCCTTGGCCTGCTGCTTCAGCGCCTCCGCCTCCGCCGCCAGCTCGGTGGCGCGGTTGTTGTAGTTTGTCAGGAACGCAGACTGCAGGGAGCGGGGGCAGGAGGCGCCAAGGCAGGGCCTCGCGGATGGTCGGCAAGGCCCCAGGGACAAGCACGACAAGTCGGAAGAGGCTCTGCCCCGTGCTGCAACCGGGGCCCAGGAGCCGAAAGCCGCCGGAATGCAGCCCAGCAGCGGCCCTCCCGCCCGGCCCTCCTCCCCTTCCGGCCCCCCCCCCCCCCCACACACACACACACCTTGTCCTCTGTCGCCTGCTTGAGCGCGGCGTGCTCCCGCTGCAGCTCCTCCACCGCCGCCTCCAGCTCTGCCAGCTGGGCAGGCATGCCCTCCAGCGCCGCCAGCACCCTGGCCGCCCCCTCGGCCTGCTCGTCCACGACCGACCACGTGAGCACCTGCGGGGCCGAGCAGCGGGGCGCTCAGGTTGGGATGGCTGGGGGGCACCTCTGCGCAGCTTTCCTCCCTTCCTCTCTCCCTCCCTCCTCCCTGTGTTTTCCTTCTTCTGCCATGTCAACGCCTCCGCTCCCTGGGCTGCTTTCCATCCTTCCCTACAGTCCCATCCGCTCCCTTGACCCCCTTCTGCTGCCCTACCACCCTCTCCACGCCCTGCACCCCACCTGCTCCAGCTGCTCCACCTCCTGGCGCCACCCCTGGATCCCCTCCAGCGCCTTGATGCTCTTCTGCAGCTCGCCGTGGTGCGCCACCATGGCATCGTACTCTTCCCGTATCTGGCGGGGCAAAAGGGGGCAAAGAGAGCAGAGAGATGCTGAAGGCTGGGGCATGGTGTGTGGGTGATGGCGGTGTGGGTGGACAGCTGTGTGGAAGCGCCAAGGCTGAGCCAGGCCTCCCTCACCCACCAGGGAGGCTGCCAGCCGACCCGAGGCAGCGGCAGCCCACTGCCAGCGCTGCCAGACACGGCCCCACACCTGCTACCCCCCAGCGTGGCTGCAAGCACACTCGCCACGCTTTGCTACACTGGCACGCCCAGCAGCAGCCGCGCCTACCGCCTCAGCCGCTGCTCCCGCACCGGCGGCTGTCTGCCCGCACACGCTGCCCCGCCGCCCCTCACCTGCGCCACGGTCTCGTCCATCTGCCTGACCTGCGCCTTAGACACCTCCAGGTTGTACGAGATCTGCTCCAGGCTGGTGGCCTCCATGTACAGCGCATACTTCTCCTGGTCGCTCTGCGGGCAGGGCGGCCACGTCAGCACGTGCCACGTCAGTGCGGCCGTCGGCCCGCATGGGGTCGCACCCAGCAGGCCGGCGCAGGCGCACAGGCGCCCGCCCTCCTGCCCGGCCACCGTTCTGCCGCCGCCAAAGTGCCGGAAGTAGGGCAGTAGTTCTAGCCCCGCAGGCGGCCCCGCAGCAGCTGCCAGCCCCACCTTGTTGCTGCTGCCCGCCAGGAAGTTGCGTGCGGTGTCCTGGGTCATCACGCACACCGGGTTGGCGGCGTTGAGGCCCAGCGTGCTCAGCATGGCGTCCAGGTCCTCCCGCTTCCGCCCCTGCACCCGCCCCGCGCTGTCCTTGAGGGCGTAGGAGGAGGAGGCGCCGACGCGCGAGATGCGGCGCTCCACGGTGATGGTGTCGCCAAACAGGGCGTGGCGGTAGGCGTCGTGGCCCTTGTAGGGGCGGTTGTACACTGCAGGCGGTACGGCAGGCGGTACGGCAGGCGGGGCAACGGGCACTGCAGTCAGGCCGCATGCGCGTGAAGCAAGCGGCGCGTGACAGCGCGCGTGACAGCAGGACCGCCCACCCACCCGTCACGCGGATGATGGCCTCGTCGGCGCCAGTCCTGATGAACTGCACACACACGGCGGCGCCAGCGCCAGCGCCAGGGGACCAACGTCAAACAAAGCCGGCGAGGCTCGCCATGCACGGGCAGGGCACGGAGCAGGCAGGTAGCGCAGGCGCCAGCGCCGGCAGGCAGGCAGGCCAGGCCCACGTGCCTTTTGGAAGGTCCGGGCACGGCCCGTGTGGGCGGCCCGCACGCCCAGGCAGCACTGCAGCGCCTGCAGCACCGCGCTCTTGCCGCTGCCGTTGGTGCCGCTGACAAAGGTGACGTGCTGCAGAGGGCAGGCGGCGGCGGCGGGGTGCAGGAGGTCGGGACACAGCGCAGGGCGACGGCGGCCCATCCCAGCAGGCGTAGCCGGTTCCTGGTGCCCCTCCCTCTCCCCAGCCCTGCCGCCTGCAGCCTCCAAACAGCTCCCCTCCCTCCCTCCCTC